TTTTTCCAAAATGATTTTTCTGGCTTCATAAGCAAGCCCTGATTTTTGTTGTCCCCATTTTGATTCTTTAAATTCCTATATATTCAATAATAAATTTTTAGAGTAATATATTTTAAATTAATATTTTAAACAATGATATCATAAAAAGATGCTAGATTTAAATAGTTATACTAATTACTAAGTACTAACCTTTGAATTGAACATCTCTCTCAAACCTTACTTTTGCCTTATTATTTCTTCTAACTGTATGAAATGAGTGGTAAATCAAGTAAAAGCAAGACGAGGTATTTGTTTCCTTTATGTATATTTTTTCATCAAATTAACAGTCCAAATGTGATTGTATATAAAACAAGTCATTTTTTTTTGCATCCTCAAAAACTTTTACCACATTTTTTTTCTTGTCAATATCCTCAAGGCACAAGTCCAAACAATGAGCTAAACATGTTGTCCAATACAAATGCTGTCTCTTCTTCATTAGTCTTTTTCTTGCAGCCTTAAGTGCTACCTCATTATCAGTGACTATTTAAACAATATATTTTTTCCCAATTTTTTTTATAGCTTCATCTAATAATCTGTAGTAGAAGTTTGTATCTTTACTACGAACATTTGAGACATCTATAGATTTTCAAAAAATGATCTCTTTGCTACAATAAACAAGGAAATTAATGATATGCATTTGATTCAAACTGTTGGTCTAACCATCACATATCAAAGTGGCACCCAATTCATCCTAATGAGCTTTTAATCCATTAACCCATTCATGAATTTATTGATACTCAGACTCTAAATACACATCTGAGACCTCATAAAGTGTTGAAAGTTTCACATGTTAGCCAATTTTTGCTGTCACATAAATCAAATTATGTAATCATGGAGAGTTTGCTAACTGAAAAAGAAGTCGATCATATATCAAAATTTTTGATACCGATTCACCCATATTCCTTCTTAATGTTTTTAAAAATGAATCGCTTATTTTTGTTGCTTTAAACTCTTATTTTTAACTAATTCAGGTATAGCCCCTCTTAATGAAAATTCAGACTTACTTGGAGTTGATTTCTTCATTTTTTTCTCAAAATATTCAGTAATTGAGCCATGAGAGCTTCGTCCTTCTTCATGTATATTACTCAAGCCATCGGTTCTTTGTCTGAATTCTTCTCTTTGGTGCCATTCATATTGTGATTGGATACTATCTCGCATGACTTGTCTAGTAACGATGTCTTTATCAATAAAACCTTTATAGTCATAGTCTTCCCCTCTTAATTGTAATAAGAATTCATCATTTCTCATTTTGTTCTCAACTTTCTTTGATTTGTTTTCTTGAAAAAGTTTCATCATACTTTCTTTTACTAAACCTATTAATAATATAGTTAAGAAATAAGAAAAAATTAGTTGTACATGTTGATGTAATTTTGTAATTTTTATTGGGAAATTAACAAAAATATTTTCAAAAGAATTATAAAAACATAGCATACCAATAACGTTAGGGCATGGTTCAACATTGCCAGTTTTATGAGCAATGTGTTCCTTGAAACGTGTTATTCCTCATTTTATAATTTTACTACAAAGTTTGCATAAAACATTTCTTTTGATATTTGACACGGGTGTTTCAAAATGCTAACCTATATCATCACTTGGTGCGCCTTCTACTCATTTGCTTGGAAATTCTTCACGTGATGGCATATTTACTATTTTGTATAAAAATAAAATAAACTTATATTTAAAAATATTAATGTTACTTATTTCATCATTAAAAATTAAATCTACATTAAATTTTTTAATTTTTAGTTTTAATCTTAAAAGTAATAGATCGTAATATGCTAAATTTATTAAGTAATTTAATCTTTTTGATATACTAATTGATGTAAAAAAAATTTATCACAATTTACTTTCAATATATTATATAACAAATAGAATATTCAATAATTACGTAAAAATAAAAATAAATTAATAAAAATTAATTTAATAACAAAGGAATTGACAACAATATAAATACCAAAACAACAAAAAAATTATTAAATTTCAAATATAAAATTATAAACTAATAAATAACAAAATCAAAATATAATATTTAATTTTAATTATTTTTCATCTAACTTATACAAAAAAATTTATTAAAATTTTTCATCTAAAATCCCTATGTATTTCATATTAAATTATTAATTTTTTATTTTTTTAATTATAAAATCTCAATCCTCTAACTAAATTTTATCAAAAAATTTTTAAAAATTACAAAATTTTAAATTTAGATTTTAATAAAATTAATTATAAAATTAAATAAAAAACACACACCCTATCCTACCTTCCAATGCACCCAACCACACCCAATCTCACCCACCCCTCCACCCTACCTCACCCAATCTCACCCCACCCTTTCACCTTACCCTCCAATGCACCTCACCCCACCGAATCCCACCCCACCCCCTCACCCTACACCATAAGCACCCCACCCCACCCTTCACCCTTTACCTCATTTCAAAAATTAAGAAACCGCCCCCATTCTCTTTTAGCCCCAAATTTTTCTCTGTTCTTCTTCATTTTTTGATGGCATCAACAATGGATCTCTCAAATAAACTCAACCAAACTTTTTATTTTTTCTTGATCTATCTTTCTCATATACTTTCATCTCTCTCAACAAATCAGATTATCACAAAAATAAATATCAGCATTATTTTACAAAAATTTCATAAAAAATAGGTAATTTAATTTTTTCTTACCTTTTTTTATTTTGATTACTGATGGAAGATTTGAAGCTGATTTGAATTTGGGTAGTTATCGATTAGATGGCTGATAATATCTAAGGTTTTTTAGATGAATTTTAAATCTGAGAAAAAAAATAACGAGATTGAGTTATGGGCACTGGGCAGAGATTTTTTTCTTTTGGCTTTTGTCTTTATTTTTGCTTTTGCAATCTTCTTGTTTTATTATGATTGTGGAGAATCTTGACTGTTTACTGTTGAAATCTGAAAACTTTTTTTTTATTATTATAATTTATGCTAAGCAGCTAAGTGTGGATAGAAAAAATAGGATAACGACAATAACGGATAGTTATTGCCGCTATTCCCGTTACGTCATTTTTTAGCGGTCGTTACATACCATTTTGATCGTGATTAAATTTTTCAATCATTTTTTCCTTGATAGCAGTGACAGACAGTGACGTTACTGTAATTTCACGATCGATATTCCACTATAGCATCGCTATTTGAATCCCTGGTCAATACCTACTGAGATTAGAATCTTTCTATAGAGGATGTGGAATGATATCTTATTAGTACATGAAACGTTACAAAAAAAAATTATAAAGAATGCGCGATGTCTAAGATACAATGAGAAAAATAAGACAACAATGCATGCTATAAGAGACTGTATACGTATGAAGAAAAGTTGGAGGTTTGCATACCCAAATGAAGATTCTTGGGATAGGCAGATAAGGGATGTCAGACAATAGCTGGCTTGGGCGACAAACGAACTAAATGAAGATGAGCTAAGCAGATTTTCAATAATGTGCTAGGCGTTATAAGGGGTTAGGAATGATGAACTCAAGAGTAATATAACCAAAATAGCCCAAGCCATAGTGACATTTGTGCACCAATTTTTGCTAAAGTACAATAGAGCTCAAGAAAGAGAGAAGGTAATAATGGGAAAAATGGTAGATAAATTGAAAGCACATATGGAATGATGATTGAAAGTTAATTTTGATGGGGCCTTTGAAAGAAAAGAGGATAGAGCAGGAAATGGAGCTGTTATAAGAAAGCATTTGGGCCTAATAAAAGGAGTTTTCTGTATGAACATGAATGGCATTAGAGACCCATAAGTCATTCAACAAAATTTGTAGAAAACTTAAGAATGCAAAAGGAGATCATGAAGGGTAATGCACTTACGATAACTTCACAATTTAAACAAAATATGGGACTAAACCTATTTGTGATAGGAAACTTAGTAGAGGATACCAAAATAGAGCTATCTAGGTTCACTAAGTGGAGAATCTCTTATATGCACAAAAAAGCAAACGAGGTGGCTTATAGACTAACAAAGATGGCCAGAGCTAGAAAGGAAACCTTATCTAATTTGATGAATTTTTTTATGATTTATGATATTGTACTATAAGAAAATTATATCTTTGTTTAATGAATCCAAGTTTTATTAAAAAAAATAATGACTTAATTCAAAATTCTTTGTACATTATATTTCTTAATTATAAACATTTGCAATTATATATAATTATTATTTACAAATAAATAAACAAAATAAAATATTCACTCACAAAGCACATGACAAAAAATATTAGTATATATAAAAATACAAATGTTTCCAAAAGTTTTTATTGCCATTCTTTAACATATTTCTAAATTTTTATATTAAATAATGTTTTTTGTTAAAATCAATAATAAATTTTATCAAAGGTTGAACTTAACTTGCTTTCCTTTTAATAAGCATTTGATATTAACATCAACTGAGTTTCTAAAAAAGGAAATAAATAATTGACAAACTTTCTAACTCTTTGATTTTTTTTTTTGAAAAAAAGCCTACTCACGTGAGTTTCTAACGCACGTGATTTTTTCTTTTATGTCTTATGCCTATTTTTCCTTTTCCTTTTAAGGAGGAAAAAAATGGACTAAAATAATAAAAAAAACTCTAAATTTTACTACTTAGATAATTTTTGATATTTTTATTATACTCAATTAAGTATTTAAGTTTTAATTTACACCAAATAATACATTAACTTTAATTTATATTTAAATATACTCTTAATATTTAATTTATAGTTAAAAAAACTCTTAATATAAATTAATTTTTTTTGTTTAAAATAAAATTTTATTTGAATACAACCAAAGGATAATATAATTTATTTAAGTAAATAAAGTTTTAAGGCTGCATCAATTATTTAGATTAAAAAAAAAGTTAATAATTTAGATTTGAAATGGCCGAACACAATGATCTAAACTCAGATAATCTAAATATTAAACGAATAAAATTTAATCCAAAATAACTCTAGTCCAAAACAATGCGAATTATTTTAACAAAAAATGACCCAACCTGAAATGATCTAATCCAAACCCGAGAGGACAAACTTGATTGCCTCCTCAGTGAGTACCTTCACATCTTTAAGAGAAGTGATCCAACATATCAACACTAAGAGGCCCACCCACCGACCAGATGCAGTTCAGAGAATCCAATTAAATAAAGGCTGTCTGGAGAGGGAGAAAGAGGGCTACCACCTCATTCACCAATTTATTAGACAAATGCTACTTTTACATACTGAGCTAACAAAACTACCAGAAACCAGCTACTACTGGGGAGGAAAAAGGATACAAAGACATTTGACTTTGACATATATGCTGTAAGCCACAAAAAGGACAATATTCTACCTCCCAAGCAGGAGATCTAGTGGAATTCCAACTCTTGTTAGATACATGAACTAGCAATACATCTCATTAAGCTCAACTGAGATTCTTAAAAACCAAGATATCAAGGGTTTGATGGGCTAACTACATGCTTGTTTCTTGAGTCTTTAATGGCCTGATCATCTTCAGTTGCATGGCATATGTTCTACCCTGCTTCTGGTCCAGTGCCCGCAGAATTCTCTTGAATTGGTTCCAGCCCACGGTTGTCATGGGTTCTTGATGGAACATGCCCTCTCAACAAACAGTTGCAAGAATGCCTATTGAAAGACTCGATGCCGAAATAAGATCGAATGGCTGAACTGAATAATGGTTGCATCATATGCTTCTTCTCAGGAAATTCGCGCAGTGATATTCGGCAAACAGGACATGTGGAATGCTGTTGTAGCCATATATCTATGCATGTTACATGGAAGGAGTGCCCACAATAGGGGAGGATTCTCAAGATATCTTCACCGTGGTATTCAGAAAGGCAAACTGTGCACCTACCATGCATATCAATTAACATTTTTATTAGCTGGATATTGATTAAGACACTATAAGCAATTTTACTAAAAACAAAATATGTAAAATGTTGAATCCAAAGTTTAGCTTAATTGATTCATACAGTCATTTTAAGAGATGACATACAGCAAATTTGGAGTTCAAATCCCAATATCTGGAAGCCCTTGCCCTATCCTCAGACTATGGTCTCTTTTGTACAAAAAAACTATGTAAAAATTTCTAAAAGCGCACAAACCATTGATGAAATAAATAAGAATTGCTGATCTTCCATTAACTCGGAACATTTAAAAGAAAAATACCTACTCATGGTAACAGGAGACAGGTTGTGCAGATTTTAAATCAACCAAGAAGTGATTTCAAAGAACAGAAACTATAGGATAGAAGGATGGAGATGCAAGAACACTTCAAATTGCAAAATTACAGAAACGTATTCGGTAACGGAGAATCATCATGTTAAATTATCAGAGGAATCTTGAAGCAAAATGATTCCTTATTCCTCAATCATAAGATATCGTTCAGAGTTTTGCTCATCAGACACCTTCAAGGCATGACAAGATCCATTTATATCTCAGACACGGTAACAGCTTCACTTGCTTCTTCTCTCCATTAATACAAAACCTCAAGGCATAGAACTCATAGCAAGTAACAAAGAATTCAAGTGCAGTCATGATTTTGTTGGGATTAAATCCTTTTTTCTACTTCAGGTTGAAATGGAGTTTGGATAAACCAATGTGGATGTTCCACTAGATTCACTCACGCGGCACGGAATAAAAAAGAGGGGGAAATAGAGAAATTATTGAAATCAGACGGGAGGGAAGAAACCAAGAAAATTGACACAAATAGAAAGAACAGGGAAGAGAAAGAGAGAACCAAGAGATACATAGCATGAATCCATAGTAACTATATTATCCAAAAGCCACTAGAATCTTAAAATAAAACGGATATGTGGGGACTACTCCCCAAACCCTAATACTTGGAAGAATCAGCAAAAATAAAAATTTAAATAACTGAAAAAACCTCACAAATATAACAACAACAAACTAAGCCTTATATCTCACATCTCACAATAAGTAACAAACCCATAAAATAAAATCTTGAACCATGAATCCTACGATTAGCTTCTATTTGCACCAGATCATCATTAGTATAGTGACCTAAGTTCCCACATGTTGCACACCCTGTCACGGGACCAATGGTGAGTTATAAATCAAGTAAACGAGCGCTTAGAGCATAGCTTATAAACTAGTTATGCCAACTAAAATTCCAGCTATTAGTAAAAGATAAAGCATCACTACCGGATCAAACATGCAGAAAAAGTTAAGAGCTGAAGTTAATTATCAAAGTAGTCCTATATAGAAATAAAATATGGTGCAAACAATACATGTAGGGTTATCTTGGCTGCTTCTGTAAGAAATGGCTTTTATTTATCTTTTGAGGTTATCTATCCGTGTTATGGAACTCATGGAATAGTCTTAGTGCTGCATTTAAGAAACACATATTTGTATGTTTCTTTTGGAAGGTTATAACCACACAAAAGATGACAGGGTAGAAACCAAGTAAATTATTTGTAAACATATAATTGTTATAAAATACCTTTTTTTTTTTTTTTAATATCCTCGACTGCAAATCAGTTAGTTCTGCATGAATGTCTCCAACCAACCCACACCCAACCCCTCTTCCTCACAAAGGAGAACCATTTGTCTAAAGATCCAAAGAGGCAGATCCTTACTAGAGATGGGGAAATCTGACAGAACCCGAAAATATGCCAAAACAGACCCAAAACTGAACTCAATCCAATCCGAATCAACTAAAATATTCAAACACTCAAAACCGAGAAAAACTGAACCCAAAAAAATCTGAACTAAAGCAATCTGAAACCGATGTAACCCCAAACCTGCAATGATCTGAGCCTGAGCCTAATCATATCCAAAACCCACAAAATCTTATTCTTTAAGCCGAAGGGATTTGAACAGTTATCAACCAGAGAATGACCGTTTAAAACATACTCAATCTGAAATGGACCAAACCTGAAACGGCCCAAATTTGCAGTGGTCCAAATTCGACATAACCCAAACCTGTTACGGTCCAAACCTGAAATCGCACAAATTAGAAATGATTCGAATCGAAAATTATCTTAACCCAAAACGATCCAAACTCAAAGTAAATCTAAAGTTAAAATAACTCGAACCCGCCCAATTGCCACCTACAGTCCTTGCCCAGTCATTCCAGATTTAATGGAATTAAAATAAATAAACAACTACCTGAACTACTAACCTCCACATAAAATGAAAAGTGGGGGGCATCTTTTATATCCATTAAAAGTGGACAATATCCTAGGTCAAACCTCAAGGTAGTAAGCTTAGCAATTATTGTTATGCATAAATTCTTAAACCATAAAGGTTTCAAGTCTACGAGTAAAAAAGTGTGATAAGAAAGGCAAAAAAAAAAAAAAAAAAATCAAGAATATGCTCCTCACCACTCCTTTCATTGAATGATGCTAGCTCTTTCCAAAACATCAAAGGGGCTATTAAATGCAAATATCCCTACCCTATAGGATACCAAAAATTCAAATTTAGCTAACTTAATCAATCAAGAAAGCAGAAGTTTCATCATAAAAAAATGAAACCAGGAGTTTGCCGGATGATTAATCCGAACAACATTTTGCCAAGCAGCGAAAAGAAAAGGGAGTGCGCGGCTGAAGAAATTGCTCCACTTATTGTAAGGAAACCATCTTCTATCATGTTTGCCTAAGTCTTCTGACAAGTTTTTAACAACTAGTCTCTTATTGAACACTTCAAATAAAAGATCAATATTGGCTACAGTTATTAAGATGCTAGAAGGATCAAATCATATTTGAAAATATGGCATGTTTATAGCACACAAAGTAAAGGATAACAGAACACAGGAACTGGTCTATATCCACGTCTAGCAAAACTAGGCAAGTCCAACATTCCAAAACTGGGCAGGGTTTTAAAGTCTTACTTGTACTTGCAATCTAAAACTACATTCAATTTGGGGACCCTAATGCACCTTGGCATCAGAAATTGGTTTACGAGGCAAATATGACTCGCCATAGCTCATGCTTACATCTTCTGAACTTTTAACCAGCAATAAAAAAAATAATAATAAAGAAAAGAAACATGGATTTCTTTCATGCACAGAAAACTTTAGCTAACTTCAGAAATCTTGCACTAGCACAGGGGAGAGATATTAGTTGCAAACAGTAAAAAACAAAGGACAGCTAGAAAGAAAGGAAGTATCTGGATTTTCCTACTAGTTTTTGGTTATGGGATACTAAGACTTTAAGATCTGAATTTTAGTGTTGATATTTATCCCTTTGATTCTATATCTTTTTTCTGAATTTCTGCTATTTGACCCTAAATTTCTTCTATTCCTTTCCCTCTCCCTCATATACCAGGTTTCTATTTGTCCCTATTTTCCCTGTCAGTTGTGCATCAATTGTACAACATATAAGACACAAAATATCACTTTCTAAGGCTCATAACTGATTCTGTGGTTTTCTGACATTCAAAGAACTTTATGCATAAGAAAAACATGTTCCGGAAATTTAGTCAAACAAGAAACTTTGTATCACCACATCAAAGTCTTAATACCCCATAACCACATTGCAGATAGGCAAAACCAAAAGGAAAATGTCATGTTTTAGATCCACAGTGGAATTTATGCACTGGGCGTTACTGATAACTAAAGGGGAATTAGGTCACCAGATAAATATAATTTGAACAACTATGGGCTTTAAAATCCAAACTGAAGTTTTAATGCCAGCAACACATGTTCTCCCTTTTGTCTTAGTTGCTGTTTGGCAAGCTGCTGTAAGACTCACATTAGAACCAACTATGACTTTTGGAAACAGTTGGTAACTAAGCAACAATTAAAAGAAACAACTTGTATCTATGGCACATGCCCCAGGCTGCATCTAAATGCCCTTCGGTAAGATGAATAACATTAGACTGGCAAATGTTTAAAGAAAGATGTAACAAATGAAAAAATAAACGAGCACTGGGTTTAAGCTCCTTGGACCTGACTTCAAATAAAAAGAAAGACCAAAGCTTGTTAGACTAGAGAATCAGTTGAAACTAAAATTTCTAAAACATCTCAGGCCGTTTGAGATTACATCCATTTTCTTCATCGTGCAATGCATTTCACCATAACATGTCATCATTAGTATCAACATGGAGAATGTTGACAATTTCCCAGATATTCATATTATATAAGTACATACGCTCAAGATCACAACTACCTCAAGATTTCAACTATCCCTCATCTATTCATCTTCCTCCAATTACACTTTGTCTTCCATACAAGATATCTCATCAATTACTCTGTCTCTTCTCTCATTGTTATTTAAACTCTATTCTTTGCGGAATAAATGGTCCAATAATATAGACAAAGACAATTAAAGCCAAAACATCAGAATCAGACTATCCAATTCCCATCCAAAAACATGTATGGGCAAATACCAGGAAGAAATACTTATTTGTTGTTTGTGCACTCAAGGAAATAGCATCTATATCTAAGCAAGCTCGATAGTCAGGTTAAAAACCTGCCTATTATCACTTCTGTGACCTGATGGTGCTTCTTATGGCCATTGACAATGCCCACACCTTCACTATGAATAGAAAAATTGATACACAGAAAATTAATTACTGAAACGCAAATCCTACGCATATAAACACTCTTCTCACAAAAAATAAATCAAAGAAAATTTGTCTTCATGGTATAAAAGAAAATTGTTATGGGATAAAGAAACATGCAGTAAATGTTGAAATCAAGCAAGGTTCTGAGAACGTACTGAGCATTTTCGGTATCTGAGAAGCACTCTTCACTGTACTTCTTTGTCGGAAAATTGGCAACAACAACAGGCTCAAGACCATGTAAACCCCGTTCAAGCTGCACCAGACAAAATTCACCATCAATAAGGAAAAAGGATCACCCCAAAAAGTATGAATGCAATAATAGAAAAAGGAAATAGAAGAAAATGACTTAAATTTACTGTCAACTTTCTATTTTCTTTTCTGTCTGGTTGGTTTTAACAAAATGTGTTGGTATTTGTACTAATACCTACTGATATACCTAAAATGACAAACCTTTTCTCGTCTTTCTTTTCTTTTGTCTACTAAATTTTAGTTAACATATCAGCAAAGGCATTAAAGCATAAAAACCAAAATCCTTCAAAATAAAAACATCATTTCTGAGAAATTTAAAGAAAAAAAAAATTAAGAAACTTAAACCACATAGCTACTCCTGTAAACTCTCCTCCCACACCCCCCCCAAAAAAAAAAAGCAAAATTTCAGTGGACACCATTTTAAAAGTTTAAATGTAGAAGTAAACAATTTCAACTATTATTTGTATAGAAATTCAAAATTTCAGATAAGAAATTCCTGAAAGGGAAAAAACAGAAGTGATAATGAAAGCAACTAGATCCTAACAGTAGGTAGCAAACACCACTTACAAAAAGGACAAATCCAATTCCTAATTTCTACTAGAATTAAAAGACTTTAAAACCTTCTCTTCAGTACCATCAGTAATGTTGAACACCCAACAAAACCAGATTGTTAATAAAACCAAAAACACCAACGCAAACAGAAGAGAACAGAACCCAGCTCTGGAAATGTAAGAATTAAGACAAAAAGGCAAACAACTTTTTGATATCAAGAAAATAAAGAAAAAGAGTAAAAAAAAAAATTACTATGCTAAGATCAGATCTTGAGGTAGCTGGAAAGGATCTCCGAGAAGCATTGAGCTGAATCCGCGCACAAACCAGACGTGTACAAACAAAAACTATGAACATAGTACTCATTGTGAATCCTATCACTGTCATCACCAAATTTATCCCTGCTGATATCATTTTGTTTATATATGTCCTAACACTTTATCCCCTACAAAAACAAAAATAAAAACCCTCTTTGACAGAGAAGAAAATCAACTTCTTATGCTTATTACAACTAGTAGGAATAACACTGACGCAATTCTAAGACAACCCATTTTCAGTTTCCACTGTCTGAGTACGAATTTGAAGCCTTTAGTTTGAGTGGCAAGGCTTTTTAGTGAAGCAAGAACTGAAAGAGTTTGAGGTTTGGTGACTGTTTCATTGTTGGAAAGAGAGGGAATCCACGAAGAAGAAAAGAAAAACTTTTGTCAGTAAGAGAGAGGCTTGTAACAGAGATTATAGGTCTAAATCTTAAATGGAATTTGGACTCAAAAAAGACAAACTGGAAGCTGATCCAAATAGAACTGGTTGGTGAATTTAAATTTTACAAGTACCGTTTATTTATTTTTATTTTACTTATCATTCATTATTTTATTTTACTTTTACAATCCGTTCAAGTGACGCAGGCTCCGATGACAATCGCCTGCGCGTTAAGAGCTTCTTAAACCTTGTCGAAGAAAAAGAAAAAAAAAAGGCATTTTTCTTCTTTGGTTCTTGAAGTGGTGAGATAAAAAGGTTAAAGGAAAGTCTTTTTTAAGATAATATCACCAATAATCTATAAATTTTAAAAATATTTAATATAATATTTAAATTATAAAATTTTTAAATAAAATAACATTATACACAATTATATTTAAAATTAACCACATTAAAAACAAATATTACATTAATTAATATATTTATAATTCAAATATTACAATAAAAAATTTTAAAATTCAAATATCATATTTATCATTTTATTATACTTCAAAAGTATTCATAATATTAATCTTTTTATTAATTTTGCGAGCTGCATTTCCTTCTAATATATACTATTTTTCATAGTAGCAGTTGCTCAACATTTTCAATGCACCGGACGATTTTGTAATTCCCTCGTAAAAACTAATGATCTTAGTAGGGATAGATTGATCAAATCTTATTGACTTTTCTTAGCAATTGAAGATCATGACTCACTTTTAAATGACAATAATAATCTATAAATATAATATTAATTAATAAAAGAATTAATGATGAATTTAAATTTATTTAATTTATCTAATTTAGATTAAATAAATATTATAATAAAAATATTTATTATCAACATGTTAAAAAATTTAATTGATCAGACACGTTAAATACGTAATTTATAAAAAGTTAAATATTTGGATAAGTGAGGGTTTACAACAATTTAATTTGGTGTCCTTACTGAATTTGTGCTCTCGTCGATTGCCTTGTATGGTTCTGTTAAGTGTTATCAACGTGTGATCTTTAGTTTTGAGAGTTGAAAATTTTTAAATTTCATAACATTTTACATGTTTTTTTACATAATTAATTCCCAACATTCTTAATTATGTCTGTACTTAAACTTGGATCCTAAAAATTCGACAGCTGCCCTTTACTATTAACACAAGGCCTCATCAAACAATTGTAAAAAGGTGAAATTTTATTAATTTGAAGTTTATGGGACAAGCTTAGTTAGCATGGATAATGACATTTTGTTTGTGAGATACTTATCAAAGATATCCAACTTGTACATAAAGTTCATGGCAAGTTGGCAAATTAAAAATGATGATGACTGAACCTAACCAACCAATTACTAAACTGATTTTACCACTAATTATTATTATAACAATAATAACAAAACCGTGATGGCAAATAGTCACAGTCATCGATGCTCTCTTATTAATTAATTAAAGTTGATATTTCATCTTTAGCTTTTTGACTTAGTAATCAAGAATATCTTAAGAAGACACTAAGTTGTAAGGCTTTGCCGCCTTTAAAAAAATAAAAAAAAAAGTTAATATTTCCACTAAAAAAGTTCATAATTTATAGATTAATCATCGTTGCTATCTTTAACATAAGAAATTAATTAACCATTCTAAAAAGTTAAGGGCTAGTTGGAAGGGTTTTAAAATTTGTTTTGGTATAAAAGATGTTGTAATTTGAAAATTAAAAAAATAAAAATAAAAATGTAGAGATTTAAATTTCAAATTTGATAAATATTATCTTTTAAAAAAATTAAATAAATCAATTAAATTAAATTTTGAATTCAATTTTTTTACTATGATCAGTTGTATGTTAGGTTAATTAAGAGCGTGCCATGAATAAGACTAGATATTGATAGTTGGATGATCTTGATCCCAATTTCATTTCTCGAAATAATACTTAAATAAATTCTTGAATTTTATTGAAAAATCAAAATAAGTTTTCAAATATTTTATTTCATAAAATTAAAACTATAAATTTTTATTTCATTGTAATTATGTTGATCAAAATTTGAAAATGAATTAATATATTTTTATTATTAAAATTTTAAAATAACATTATCTTACATATTTGTCATTCAAATCATCCAAATACATTTAAATTAATATTTTTAAAAATTAAATTATTCTACTAAAGAAGACTTTAAAAAAATTAAAATCTTAAAAAAAAAAATTGTGGTTCTAATTAAAAATAATTAATATTATAACAATACAAATGAAATTAAAATTGTCAACACTCGTGTGTTATTTATAAAATGTTAAATTCTTGTTTCAAATTATAAGCATTCAATATATAATAATCTTAAATATAAAAAAGAAAAGAATTCACGCTTATTATTATTGTTATTATTTTTATTATTATTATTATTATTATTATTATTATTAATAAACTATTAAAAAATTCAATAATATTTCCAGATTGAAATTATTATCTAGTTGAATTTCGGGGACTTTGATAGGTCAATGCATAATGATTTAAAGACACGTCACCCCAAAAGTCCAACTAACATTAACAAAATCATGATGAAAAGCTGGGACAAAGGAGCATCTTCTATACTTAAATGGTCCAATTTTTCCAACATTTAATGGGGAATATTTCTTGTACCACCAATTATTATTTTTTTGAACCCAAATTCCCACCAACATATTTTATTATTTCAAGTCTACACAAGATTGTATCCAATGGAACCCAATTGTAATATCTGTGAGGGAATATTTTTGTCTAAACTTTTTTTATGTGATTTGTAAATTGGACAAGTGGAAATATATCATAAACATAAAAGAAAAAACAAAGGGGAGGGAACTTTTTATTAAAATGATTTTGTTTGTAGTAAAAAAAAATAGAAAAAAAAGAAGAAAGCTTAGGTGTGAGACATGTGACAAAATTATGGTTTTCTAATACCTAATTCTTTTAATTTTTTAATAATCTAACATTATTATGGACAATGAAAGTCAAGGTACATCAAATTTATAAAAAAAAAAATTATAATAATATAAAATACAAAAATTATAATTTTTAAAAAAATCATGAAAATGGACAAAAATAAAAAGGTAAAAGTTTTAATAAATTTATTTAAGATAGCTTTTAAAGGCAGCCAAGTACAAAAAGAGAGGTTAAAAAATTTGGTAGCTATGAGTCACATGCTCCCTATGTGTTATATTCCAAAATGCTGTGTGCTGTCTAGAAAAGTTGAAGCGTACGTGCATATAGGAACAACAAAATGAGCCAAAACATAACCATATAGACTTGAAAAAGCAAAATTATAAAAAAGTAAGAAAACAAAAGCATGCTATGAGATTGCTGTTGATTGCATATGGCTATCATAAGATTTCCTTTGCTTATAGGCTGATTGATTTAACTTGTCAATTACAATGTTTTCCCCCCAAATTTAAATTTTTATATTATGATATTTGTTCCCATTTATTCATCTTATAAATTAACTTCAGAATTTTCTTTTTATATAAGAAAAAAAATTTAAATAAGTTTTAAATCCGAATCTTAGTTCAGTTAGTTCATACTACTAATTTTAAAAAATAATATATAATAAATTTAAAGTTTAAATCTTGCTACCTATAACCAATATTATTAATTCCTTATGATTTTATATTTTTTTACATTTTTTACTAGTTAAATAATTAAGCCAATAGTCATGTAATTTATTAGTAAATTGTTGGATTTTTAATTTCAAAATTAAAATTAAAACTTTGACAACTTCAATTATAAAAAATTAAATATAAATGCCAATTATATGTAATAATGACAGTTTTGATTTTTTTCAAAAAAAAAAAAAAAACTTACAAATAAAATTGGCAAACACAATCTACTATTTTTAAGATGATCTCAAATTAAAATTTTACTAATATCAAACCATTATAAAAGTTTTACACATGAATCTTTTAACTAAGCATAATAAAGAGATAAATTCAAATTATAAAAAGTTTATGTTAACACATTAAATAACAAAAAAATGTAGAGTACAAACTTATAATATTCAAAATAAGAAAAAAATATATAATAAGAGCTCAAATACAAAGCCCAACATAGAATATGCTGTACAATTCACTATCAACATTGCACCAAGAGTTTTTTTTTTTTTTTTTAATTTTCATGAAACCCTCTTAATTAGTTTTTTTATTTTCATGAAATTTGGTAAAAAAAAAAAAACATTATTACTCTTAAGAGGCAAGTGCATTTTCAACCGAACCTCAAGAAAATGAAAGAGTATTTTTTAAACTAATGGAGATAAATGTATTTTCAACTAATATTGTCGTAACGTCTAGATCCGGGGATCTATCGCTAGACATTGACTTTAGGGAGTCGCCACCAATCTTTTTTGTCTAGGTGCGATTGGCCACCTAAGGAATCTGTCCTTTCAGGGAACACCTAAGTTTAAGGGCCCCTAAAAGAATAAGTTCAGGTCTGCTAACCAGAACAGGGTTCGGGAGTTCGGTTACGTGTGAGGAAGGTTATAGCACCCTCACAACGCCCATCAAAAGATGGTACCAGCTTAAATTTGTGTTATCCAAAAGCCTTAAAATTTTACCAAGTAATTAATTATTAGAAATTATTCTCAATTGACTCTAATACTTTTAGCAGAAAATTGAGAAAATTCCCTCACCTCAGGAGTATGCAAGAAAGAACTATTGTTTCACTTGCAGAGGCTCCGTCGTCGGATTATTTAAATCAAAATTAAGATAGAAAGGAAGGAAAGAATGATTTTTTTTTTTTTAAGGAAAATTGATACTTTCAACTTTTCCCCAAAAATATTTTTTGGAAATTTCGATTTTCAAGGAAAATTGATACTTTCAACTTTTCCTCAAAAACCCTTTTTTTGAAAATTTATTTCTAAGGAAAATTGATACTTTCAACTTTTCCCCAAAAATATTTTTTTTGAAATTTTGATTTTCAAGGAAAATTGATACTTTCAACTTTTCCCCAAAAATACTTTTTTTTGGAAATTTATTTTTCTTTTAAGGAAAATTGATACTTTCAACTTTTCCCTAAAAATATATTTTTTTTGGAAATTTATTTTTTTTTAAGGAAAATTGATACTTTCAACTTTTTCCTAAAAATATTTTTTTTTGAAATTTATTTCTGAGGAAAATTGATATTTTCAACTTTTCCCCAAAAATATTTTTTGGAAATTTATTTCTAAGGAAAATTGATACTTTCAACTTTTCCCTAAAAATATATTTTTTTGGAATTTTTTATTTTTATTTAAAGAAAATAAAA